ATCGTGAACTGAAAGGAATCAATGAAGACCTAGCCACAACCGTAGAAAAAACAGAGTGATTGAAAACGAAGTTCACACATGAATCTCATTTACGTATACAGGTGTAAAATTAAGTAACGTTCTTAAAGCAAAAATTCCAAGTCTGTGTCAATTTTATTTATAAAGCATTGGTTCACTTAGCGTGTCATATTGTTACAAATAGGCCTAAGTCGATAATTAGGCTTATTCATTATTTATTTATTATTGCATAATAATAATGACAATAATAATGATAATATAATCATAATATTAATAATATATGATAATAAAAATAATAATAGTAATATTAATGATAATATAATAATAATAATAATAATAATAATAATAATAATAATAATAATAATAATAATAATAATGTCTCATATAGTGCATCATGCGTTAGATATTTTAAAATGTAAAATTTTAATTTTTGAAAGTAAATTTTATTAAATCATCAGAAAATTAAAAAAAAAATTATGGTGCAAGCATTTGTTCTTTTGTGAACGACACTCTCTCGACGGTGATTTAGTTCACGTTTGGGGTATCCTGCCTCATATGTTTTTGTGCTTGTTCCTTGATGCTTCTATTCTTGTAAATGTTAATATTTTGGAGACAAAGAAATGAAATGTAATGAAATACCAATAAGGTCTCTATGAGCTTGCTTCACAGTAAACCACGACTAACAATGACGTTATATCAGGGAACAGTCAATCAATCGGTCCATCAATCAATCAATCAATCAATCAATCAATCAATCAATCAATCATTATCAAGCATCAGATATCTGCAAAAGCTATTTCTTCATCTTTCTAAATTTCAAAATAATGTCATGCAAAAAAAATATATACGTCACTAACGTAAAACAAAATTATTGTCCGTCAGATTTGACGAGTAGTACCTAGTCCGTAAGCTTTCTCTCCCCTTGTTTCCCCTTTCTCTATAGAAAAAATACTTCTTCCCTCAGCTTCCACATCCAATATTTCCTTAACATCAATATCTTATTCAACCACTTTGACATGTCGTTGATTGGATCTTATTATACGGTATCTTTATTTTCCAAAATATCAAAAACAACAAAACAGAACATTTTCCTGTTTCAGCTGAATTGTAGAAATAGTTTTAAAGTGCAAACAATACAAAATGAAAATTAATTTACAACAAAGCGAGAACTATCAGCATCATTATATTATACGGTAATCTGTTCATAAAAGCGTTTCGCGCGTAGAGTAAGTACACAAAACGTGTGTCCCTCCACGCTTATAAGCACATCAAACAGCCAGCACAGGATGAGTTTGGGACAAGTTCAGTTGTCAGGTAGATGGTATTCAAACATCCTTTTGTGCTGGTCTATAGTCCTAGAAGTCCTTTATTTGAACCCAAATGCAAACGTCAATAAACGTAACATGTTCTCACACACCCACACACACACACACACACACACTTTGCAAACGCAC